GCCTACACCTGTAGACATTCAGTTTGAAGAAGATATAATTTCCCATACTACTTCCTATTCAGGAAGAACAATAGTTAATTGGAATATAGATGGAATGTCTGAACACCAAATTCTAAATATAATGAAACATATGACGATGTATGCATCGGCTTGTAAGATGGCATGAAATCATGATGAAGAGGTCGCAAAAGCCATTGTTTATGGATTCACGGGATGGTTGAGAGGATTGTGGGATTTCCACCTAAGTGAAATATCAAAAGATCAAATTTTAAATAATACTAGGCAATGGACCGTCAAAAATGAAACTGGTCAAGATATTTTATACAGCGAAAGTGATGCTGTCAGTACACTCATATATACAATAACTCTTCATTTTGTAGGAAGTACCGCACTCCTAAAGCAAGATCTGAAGATCTACTTTCTAATTTAAAATGTCCTACTTTATCACATTATAAATGGTACAAAGATGTATTCTTTTCTCGATTGTTAACCCGAGAAGATAGTAATTTAGATCATTGGAAAGAAAAATTTATAGCCGGTTTACCTCATCTCTTTGCTGAAAAGGTCCGTAATCGTCTTAAAAGTAAAAATGGGGGCATAATACCATACTATGTTTATACTTTAGGAGAACTGTCAGCCGAAATCTGTGCCGAAGGCCTAGCCTTATGTACAGATATGAAATTAAAAAGACAATTAGATAAACAAAAAATGACAGGAAAAAAGGAATTAGAAGACTTTTGTGAACAATTCAGATATAGCATAGATACCTCTCCTAATAAAACATATAAAAAGAAAAAATATAAAATAGAAAACAAAAATATGTCAAAACCCAGAAAACATAAAAAACAAAAATTTATAAAACGATTTTCTCTAAAAAATAAATATAAAAAGGGAAAGAAAAAATTACCTGTTTGTTACAAATGTGGAAAAATTGGGCATTATAAGAACAGCTGCAAAGTAAAAAGAAAAATAGACAGTTTAATATTAGATGAAAACATTAGAAATAAAATATATGATATTATACAAATGTATGATTCAAAGGATAGTTCTATAGAAGATACAAGTTCTAGTTCACTAGTAGGAAACATTGAAGATGAACAGTTAATATGGAGCAGTTCGGATGAGCAAATAGATGACGAAATGGAAGAATGCTCCTGCAATAAATTAACCAACGAAGAAAATCTAATAATAGATTTAATAGATAAAATACCTGATCCTAATGAAAAACGAGAAACAATAACACAATATCTGAAAATAATTAAAGCCAAAAATAAGCCGACCCCATTACTCAAACCTCTAGATGTACATAGCTTTTCTGAAATATTAAAAAGGGCAAGCAAGAAAGAGGCAATTCAAAGAGAACCAACTACTGCAGCTCTAAAACAAGAAATAAATGAAGTAAAAATAGAAGTCCAGCAACTTAAAAAAAGAATTAGAATATTAGAATTACATAATGAATTCTCAGAAACTATTTCAGAAAATGATGAGTTAGAATTTGATCAATTAATAGAATCTCACAAACTAAAACCAATAAAACCTGATCTACCAGAATCCTTTGGAATTAAAAAAGATATCCAAGAAGAAAATATTTCCTTAAATTTAATAAATAGAGTAATTACACAAAAATGGTTCACATTAGTAAAAATTGTAGTTTAAAATGAATATAGTTTTCAATCTTTAGCATTAATAGATTCAGGTGCCGATTTAAACTGTATAAATGAAGGTTTAGTTCCTACAAAATATTTTGATAAAACAACACAAATATTGAATACTGCTGATGGTAGTAGTTAATAATAAATTATAAATTATCCAATGCTGTTGTTTGTGATAATGGAACTTGTTTAGAAATACCCTTTATTATGGTCAAAGGACTAAGTCAGACAGTAATATTAGGAACACCCGTCTTGAGCCTACTTTATCCTTTAAGAATTAATAATATAGGAATAGAGTCAAACCTAGCTGGTAATCGGATTAAATTTGAATTCATAGATAAACCAGAAATCAAAGAAATAAATCATGTTAAACAAATTGTTCAAAACAAAGAAAAATTCCTCTATCATCTTAAAGAAGAACTTAAATACAAAAAAATAGAACAAGATCTTTTACTTCCAGAAATAAAAAAGAAAATTGAAGAAATCAAAATAAAATTAAAACAGGAAGTTTGTAGTGATATACCAAATGCTTTTTGGAATAGGAAGAAGCATATGATAGAATTGCCTTATGAAGAAGGATTTACAGAAAATAAAATACCTACAAAGGCACGACCAATACAAATGAATTATAGATTGCTAGAAATTTGTAAAAAAGAAATAGATGATCTATTAAAAAAGAATTTAATAAGACCAAGCTCGGCACCTTGGAGTTGTGCTGCATTTTATGTAGAAAACGCAATTGAAAAAGAAAGGGGAGTCCCTAGATTAGTTATAAACTATAAACCCTTTAATAAAATATTAAAATGGATACGATATCCTATACCTAATAAGAAAGATTTACTACATAGAAAGATTTACTACATAGACTTATTAATGCTTGTATTTACTCAAAATTTGACCTTAAATCAAGGTATTGGCAAATACAAATACATGACAAAGATAAATACAAAACTGCATTTAATGTCCCGTTTGGACATAATGAATGGAATGTAATGCCGTTTGGATTAAAAAATGCTCTTTCTGAATTTCAAAAAATTATGAATGATATATTTAATCCATATATGAAATTCATGATTGTTTATATTGACGATGTACTAATTGTTTCAGAGCATATTCATCAACATTTTAAGCATTTAAATATCTTCCTGACTACGGTAAAGTATGCAGGTTTGGTAGTCTCTGCAAGAAAAATGAACCTCTGTCAAACCGAAATCAGGTTTCTAAAACAACATTTTCCAAGGAACCATTATCCCAATAGACAGAGCAATTGAATTTTCAAATAAATTTTCTGATATAATCCAGAATAAAACGGAATTACAACGATTCTTAGGATGTTTGAATTATATTGGCGATTTTATTAAAGATCTAGCACTCATAGCTAAACCATTGTATGACAGGCTAAAAAAGAATCCTTCGAAATGGATGGATGAGCATACTAATGCCATTAAAATCCTTAAAAGCAAAGCAAAGGAACTTCCTTGCTTGGTTCTTTCAGATCCTAATGCTTTTAAGATCATTGAATGTGATGCCTCTGAACTCGGGGTAGGAGGCGTATTAAAACAACAACTTGATAATGGCCCTGAACAATTAGTACGCTATACTTCTAGATCACGGAATAGTACCCAACAAAACTATTCCAGGGTAAATAAAGAAATTTTAGCTATTGTTCATTGTGTAACCAAATTTCAAAGCGATATTTTTAATACTCCATTTTTAATAAAAACAGATTATATGTTTGCTAAAGACATTCTTTTAAAAGATGTTCAAAATCTTGTCTCAAAACAAATTTTTGCTCGCTGGTAAGCTATTTTGTCATCCTTTGATTTTAGAATTGAGCATCTCCGTGGATCTACTAACTATCTCCTTGACTTTCTTACATGTGAATTTTGCAGGGGGGGAAGGAATCTACTACCACTAGAACTTGAGCAGCAACCATTAGCATTAATATTATTTCATCAAAATAAAATGGATACTCATAGAAATAGCCAAAAGAGGAAAGAAATTATAGATATAGTTCCATCTCATTCTGTTGGATCACCTTTAATTAGCCTACCCTATTCTCCAACCAGCCCAAATTATCCTAAATATTCTAGCCAACAAAGCCCTTCTCAAAACCCAAATATTGTCTTTATGCAGTCACCAACACCCAGAAAAACACCTTCTATAGAAAGATCTCAATATGTAGATACATCATTTGTAGTAGAAATGGTCATAGAAGATCGCCATGCTATGGAAGATCCTAACCAGATTGCAAATATTTACCTACATAATAATTTGAACCCTTCCAATGGAATTAAAAAAAGAGAATGGTATGAGGCCATTTTGTTAGAAACTAGTTCTGTTTCAATTATTCATTATCATCAACCCAATACCGGAATGATAGCATATTCCAAAATACAAATTCAAAAAATATTACCCTATAGTGAATGGGGTCAGAACCCTCGAGAGCAAAGAAATTGCAAGCCCAAGATTTCCCAAATAAATATTACAGACATGCAGAATATGTTGATGCTTGGCACAAAGTTTTAACCCTTCAAAATAATTACAACTCTCACATTTGGTTTATACAATTCAAGATGCATATAACTGAACCATTTCCCAACTGGTTCAGGAATTGGTTTTCTACCTGGGGATTAGTCCCTCAAATTTTACCTGAAGAATTACAAATGTCTCAATCAAAATTCATGGACAATAATGGGAAAGACCCTAATGTCGATTACCATTTGTACTTTACATCCATGTATCAGATACCCTAGATAATGAGGTGGCAATATGCCATAACCAATAATACTTCTAACAATTATGAATATATTTACAAAATAGGAAAGAAAATATCTATAAAATGGTGGGACATATTTGTTTATGAAAATTTGAAGCCAAAAAAAATAAGAATGAAAAAGATTCCAGAAGCATTGGGAGCTTTTACATATGATAACCAAATAATCTGGCAGAATATATTAGACAAATGAAAAAGAGAAATCCACAGGCCACAAAAAGGAAGTAGAAAAGCAATTGCTTCAGATCTTTGAAGAAGAGGTAGTAACAAAAAGTACTCAGAATGAAGAAGAACAGACAATGGATGAAGAAGAAGAAGCCCAGACTCTTCATGGCTTCTCGCAAAAGCAAACCCTTTACTAAAACCCAAAAAAAGGCCAAAGACCTGACAATATCCAAAACAACCTTCCAGAAACCTCTAGAACCTTCCAGAAACTTCCAGAACTTTCTAGAATAATAAGATTCCTAAAAGAGGGTACCGACAAAATTACCAACAGAAACCTCCACTTACCTAAAAGAATCTTGCCACCTGTCTACCTTTGTTGACATCTGTCCTGCACTGGCCAAAGCAGATTCCCTTTGTCCCGCACTCACCAAAAGTAAACCATCACCTACCAGATACCTGTCCCGCCCTAGCCAAAGCCGATTCCCTCTTTCCCACACTCAATAAAGGAACCACTTGGATGACCGCCACCTGAACAGACAACGTAGATACCTGCCACCTGCAACAAAAGAAATTGAATGTAAGTTTGAGATCCGCCTCTATAAAAGGAAGTGAAGGCCATTCGATGGAGGTAGAGTTTCAAGAGTCCAAGCTTAAAAGCTATATTTCAGAGACCCTTAGAAGCCAAGTCTTTTCTCTCTCCTCTTCTCTCTTCTCTACCCTTTTAGTTTTCAGTTTTATGTGTGATTGAAACTACAAAGACCTTCCGAGTTACTGCCCATCCCAATGGAGGTCATTTTCTAGCTATTGTATCTGCAGACTATAAGTACTTCTGTAAGTACTTTAAGTTGGTTTGTTTTAATAGGTTGTAACCGTTTGATTACCGTTTGGAACAGTTTGTTAAGTTTGTTTGTAACAGTTTGTTATTTACAAGTACAGTTTGTTTGTAACAGCGTGTTATGATTTGTAAAAGCTTGTTATGCCAATTTACTACAGTTTGTTATGATAAACAACATGTTTACTGAGCAAATCCTGTCAGTTACTACCAAAGCCTGTTTACTGACCAAAATACCTCTTGAAATTTTCAAGGGTATTTTGATCATTTAATTTTTTGAAAATTATTTGTTTTATATTTTTTGCTAGTGCAAATTTAATAGGGGATTGGATGTTCAAAATTTGGTGTCAAAATAGCTTATAGAAAAAAAAAAAAAAAAATTAGTGTAGAGACGTGACATTGTGATTGGGACATTCTAAGCCCTCCATTCAATATGGACGGTTGGATAAGGGGAAGTATATAAGTTTTATGCTACAGGGGAAGCATAGAAAGCTTGCCCTTATAAAAATCCCCTTTAAGTTTTGTTTTTCGTGTTTATATCCCATTTGCTTTTTCTTTAATTTTTTGCAAAATACCCCCACAAGGTCAGATTTGACAATGATTTTAGAGAGTCTAAAAAAATTAGGAATGGGCTCAAGGTAAGGTGGTTGGGGGCAGCATGACACCACAATATAACATCTTAAGTTTCATTCTTGCCACGGGTTGAAGATCCCTTTCCTTGCTGAACTATAAAAAAAAAAGGACTTCTTGGAGTTAGACCTTTCATGGTCCTAAATCCAATCAGTTCGAAGGTCTGAAGTGCTTCTTTCTAGAGTTCCAAATAACACTTCAGACTTCAAAGTCTGAAATTCGAAGTGTTTCTCTCTAGATTTTTAGATAACACTTCAGACTTTTAAAGTCCGAAATTCGAAGTGTTTCTCTCTAGAATTTTAGATAACACTTCAGACTTTCAAGAAGTCCGGAATTCTGTTGTCACACAAAAAAGAGGGGAAGTGGGGGCATTTCGAAAAAAATAACGGATTTCTAGGGCATAACAATTTCTCTGTCATCTACCGGGGATTTTCACAAGAGACAAGAATTATGGAGGAATCTGGGCCTAGAATTTCTCTCTCCTCAATATTTTTTGGTGGTTAAAAAAAAAGAAAAAGATGAGTGATAGTTCTCTCTCTCATCGATGAGTGATGGTATTTATTCTCTCTCTTTTTGGGGCAAATGAACCTAGACAAAGAGCTTTGCTGTCTATTTTTGTTCTCTTTTTTACTACTAGTCAATGGGCTAATATTTTTCAATGATTGTATCAAGAATCTTATGACATTTGAATTTACTTTCATCGTCTTCTTCTACAAAATTTTCCACTGTGGGGACAACTGCACTAACTTTTTAAGCTACTTAAGATTCATTTTCACTTATTTTTCTAGGGAATGTATTTTTTTTTTAGAATTGTTTTTGGTATTAATTTTATTTTTGGAGAATACGTTTTTTCTTGGAATTTGGAACATTTTTTTGGCTTGAAAATATTTTGATGAATTTTTTTAGCTAATCTCAATTGATTTGTTATTCAAAATTACCTTGAATATATTTAGTTAAACATCTATGTTATCAATTTAAGCTATTGATAAAAATTCAGCTAAAGTTCTATATTATCTTGAAAATATGTAGTAAGTTATTTCTTTAATTATTTTTAAAACAAAAAAAAAAGTTCCAATTTTTTTTGAATTTGGATGTACTTATATAGGAAAGTATTTTTGAACTTTTTCTAAAAACATCAAAATAAAGAATTTTTAAGGTTTTTTATAAAAATGTTACTGTTTTTGCTGTTATTTTTGAACTGTGGCAGATGTAATCGATTAACAAAAAATAGTGATATTTTGTAAGAAACAAAAATGGATTTTTAACATCGAATTGCTATATATGTTGACATATGTATTTTTTTGTTTACAAGAATCACTTTAATGCAGAGAAATCATTAAAAACAAAATTACATCATCAATCAATACAAAATATCAATAAAAAAACATAAAAAATTTACAAAGACATCTTTATTCCAAGCTTGAGCTTGTGCTTCACATCTTGCCAATCCATCAGTCAATGCATTTTACTCTATGGAAACATGCTCAAACACCACCTCTTTGCCTTGGCACACTGTGGTTGACATATTTAGTCCTGCATGGAATGCAACTCAAGAAAATAGAATTATGAACCCTCCAAAGAACAAAGCAATGGGAAAGATGCCTACTTCTAACCTGGTTATTGGAGATTAAAGGTATGGTTATTGGAGATTAAAGGCATGTGTGTTCGGTTTCCACAACTGTAGCACTCTCGTTTTTGTTACACAAGAGTAGAAACCACTATTTATAAGTTGCAATTTCCAATGTCCCTGGAAACAAAATCAATACACATTGTTATTAAGGGACTCTTACTCTATGTTAACCCATGGAAGCGGCGGGTTCTAAACTTTGAGTTTTCACAAAACAAACACACCTTACTCTCCGTGGTGACATGATTATCGGGACATTAACTTATATGAATTCTTTGCGGAAAAAATATAACATGGTACTGGGTATACACATTTTTTTAGGAGACTGCCACTTCCATGTTAACCCATGGAAGCTGAGGGTTCTAAACTTTGGTAAGAGGGAACTTTCACAAACAAACACACCCTTAATCATCTCGATGTTATGGTTATTGGGAAATTCAATCTACCTGAATTCACGGCAGACGAATATAACATGATATTTGGGTTGTTAATGGGCCCAACCCAGCCCACAAGCTTTTGGGCAAGGCACAGTTTTGGGCCAGGTTCAGGCCACATATTAAGGCCTCAGGGCCTGCTCCATACCATTTTTGGCAGTGCCAAAGCATTTTTAGGCCGTGCCCAGCATGAACTTTCTTTATACACTTTGTTTTTAAAAATTTCCCTATATTTATATAATTCGGGCTAGGCCTAGGCGTGGTCACTTATAGCACATCCACGTGGCACAATCAGTTAAGAGATACAAATTTCATGATCATGTGGCAAAATAGAACCAATAAAATTGGTACCCATTTGAAAACCCAAAACCAGGTTGTGAACTCATAACCTACCAAGCCATCTAATACGATTTATTTTATTTATTTATTTATTTATTTTTTTATTTTTTTGGTCAGCGGTAAAAATCACTCGGAACCATGTATCAAAATTTCTAGCAACTATAGTAATGTTACTTAGTATCATATGCGAAACTCCCACCAACTATAGTGCAAAGTACTATGGCAATAGATAGTGGAAGAAACTAGTTCAAAGTTGTGGAGTTCACAAACAAGGCAGACTTCAAAGCTGGGGACAGAGTCATATCTACCATCCATCAATTTATCACGTACGTTGGATGGTTGATATTGCGAGAATATTGTGTCTCTTCATTGATGAAATTGATATTACAATGAAAGATTTATACATAAGGAATTTTCACATACATGCAATATATAGTAAATACTTGCTAAATCTATAGGCTAGTGTACAATCTTCATTGATGAAATTGATATTACAATGATAGATTTATACATAAGGAATTTGCACATACATGCAATATATAGTAAATACTTGCTAAATCTATAGGATAGTGTACAATCGTGCACTTCCAGGTTGCTATATCCATTCAGATGCGGGTTGTTATATTTGTTCACATATTGCTATATCCGTTCACATGCACTAGTGAGTTGTTAAATCTATTCACACTCCTCGTCAAACTCGAGATGGTTTGAAAAGAATCATGGAGAGTTTGGAAAAAAACTGTGAGAAGTGATTCGAAGGATGATATTTGGTAAAGAAGTTTGTGAGTTGAGAGGCATAGGGCACATATGGAAGAGAAATTGTGCATGCCAAATATTGTTGTCGAGCATAGTGACAATCGACTTCAATATGTTTGGTGCATTCATGAAACTTTGGATTTTTTGAAAATAACACTCTTATTATCACAATAAAATGGAGTAGGGACAGAAATGGTGACACCCATATCTTTGAGCAGCCAACGTAGCTAAACAATCTCATTGGTAGTTTGTGTCATAGCCATTTATTTAGCTTCCATAGTAGACTGAGCAATTCATTGTTGTTTATTGCTTTTCCATGATATAAGATAGTCACCTAGAAAAATGCATAATCTTATGGTAGATTTGCGATCACTTGAATTTCCTGAAAAGTCGGAGTCTGTGGAGGCCCAGGGCTCAAGTGAGGAAGACAATGAGATAAATAAAGCATGGTGGATGGTATCCCTGATATAACAAATGATGCGCAACATGGCAACGAGATGAATAGAATGCGGTGCACTCAAAAACTAACTGACCATATGAACTACAAAAACAATATCTAGGAATGAAATTGTTAGATATATCAATTTTCCAACCAGTTACTTATAAAAGGTTGGATTAGGAAGAGCTTCACCATCTGTTGCCTGAAATTTGGCATTTACTTCAATAGGGGTATCAACTTTCTTCGTATCATCCTTTAGTCGAGCTAGGGAAACAATCTCTGAGCATATTTTAGTTGTGAAAGCAGATAGTCGTAGGAAGAATAGACGACCTCTAATCCAAGGAAATAGCGCAGAAAGCCAAAATCTTTCATTTCAAATGTTCCATTGAGCTTCTGTTTGATGTTATGAATTGTGCCCATATCATTACCAGAAATATTCATGCCATCCACATATAATAACAAGAGGGCTTGCCCTTCAAAAGTTTCAGACACGAAGACGGCTAGATCGTGATGACTATGTTGAAATCCAACAAAAAGGACTTTATTGTGAAATTTCTCAAACCAAGCACAGGGTGCTTGTTTGAGTCCATAAAGGGCCCGTCAAAGTTTACGCACCCTTTTTTGAAAATCCATAACTCCAAGAGATAACTTCATATACAGTCGCTTATCTAGATCACCATTGAGACAAACATTTTTAACATCTGATTGATAGAGGGGCTATTGCTGAACGAAAGCTACTGAAATCAGTGTACAAACAGTAGTCATATGAGCCACAGGGGTAAAAGTTTCTACAAAGTCGATGTCATATTGCTAGTTGTAACTTTTTTCCACAAGGCAAGCTTTGTATTGTTTAAAGCTACCATATGCATTTGTTTTAATTTTATATAACCATCTACATTAAATAACAATATTTTCTTTTGGAACAGGTACAAGGTCCCAAGCATGCATGCAATAAAAAATATTTAACTCATATGTCATTACTTGTTGCCACTCAAGTTGACTTACAACTTCTTTGTAAGTCTGGGCTTCAAAATAAGAATGAACAGAAGCAAGAAAGACTTGGTGCCGAGGTAAACAGATTTTGTAGTTAGCAAGTCAGGCAGGTGGGATAAATACACGGGTGCTTCGTCTGAGAGCAGAAGCGATATAGGATCAACAGGTGTAGGCTTTTGATTAGGACTGTCATCATAAATTGGTTGAGTTTCGTCCTGTTCTTGAAGTTGAGGAACAAGAGTGGAATTTTTAGAAAAATTTGGAATAGAATCAGAAAAGGGAACCCAAAAAAAAAAGGTGAGAGGATGAGTTATCGTTTTTATTTTAAAAAATATGGAAGATGCTCAGAAACACAACATGTAGGGATACTCTTAGTTTTTGGTTGCAGAGTCATAGCATCGATACCCTTTTTGGTGATCAAGGTAACCTATGAAGCAACATTTCACAGTCTTGGGAGACAACTTGTATCTTTCAGTTGAGAGTAACAATATAAAACTAGTACAACCGAACACACGCAGAAGGGAATAATTGGATGATTGAGCGAACAACTTTTTGAACGGTGACTCTCTAGAAAAAATGGAGGATGACATGATGTTGTTGAGATAAATTGTTGTACGAACAGCTTTTGCCCAAAATTCTTTTGGGATATATGTAGACAAAAGAAGGGCTTTTGTGATTTCTAAGATATGTGGGATTTTTTACGTTCTACAACACCATTTTGTTTTTGAGTATAAGGACATGTTTTTTGGTGTTGAATGTTTTTGTCAGCAATTTTGTTTTTAAGGAACCCACCGATGTACTCGCCTATAGAATCTAAGCGTAGCACTTTAATTTTGCTAGAAAATTGGGTTTATACATATGAGTAAAATTAAGTGATTTATAAAATTCAGTGTGATTATTCATAAAGCAACCGCACTTATGATGAGTTTGATCATCAATAAAAGTTATAAAATATCGTGATCCCCATTTAGATAAAATAGGTGTAGGGCCCCATACATCAGTATGAATAAGATCAAATATAGAAAATGAAATGGAATTGCTTTGAGAAAAAGGAAAAGCATGAGAATTAACAAACTTGCAAGTTTCACAGCGTTGGACATTAATAAAGTTTTTATTTGCAATATTACCAAGCACATTACGAGAGAATAAAAACTATAACTGAGAACTAGAGATGTGATCAAGACGTTGATGCCATAAAGATGTGTCATCACCAATAGAAACAACATAGACAGAAGATGTTTGCATATGAATGTAGTTCAAGTAGTACAAATTTCCAATTTTACGCCAGTCCCAATCAATTGCACTGACTGCCGATCTTGTATATAACAACAAGAGGGAGAAAAAAATAACATTACAATTTGAAAGAGTAATCTGACCAACAGAAAATAAATTCATGGCAAGTGAAGAAACTTGGTAAACATCAGAAACCCTTAATTTACCAGAAGGGTTAGAAGTACGAGATATGGAGCAAATTTTTGAAACTTTCATAGCAGCTCCATCAATAATATAAATAGTATCAGAAAAAGACTTATAGTCAGTTAGGATTGACTCATTATATGTCATATGATGAGAGGCGCCTGAGTCGATCAGCCAAGAAGTAGAAGGAGAGTTACCTGAGAAGGAAGGCATGGGTTTAGACGTCAAATGTAACTGGGAAAGCATAGACTGCACTTGTTCAACTGTAAGTGTTACTGAGCAATAGTAGGGTGTGACATGCACCTTGAGTTAGAGTGAAATTGTTCAATGATTGACTTGTATCAGCGACATTAGCAAAGATGGGTTTATTTTTCTTTGGGCAAGTCTACTTTATGTGTCCAAGCTCTTTACAATAATTTCTTCTAACAGATGGCATGTTCTTTTGAGGGACATAATACGAATTACATTGAAATTGTTTAGTCTAATTTGATCTCTGAGGTTTAGTTGCAGCAAAAATTGTTTCACCCTTAAAAACTGAGCTAAAAGATTTAATCTTGGTTTTTTCTACAAGTAGCTTAGAAAGAGCTTCATCCAGAATGGAGAGATATCTTCTGTGCACCAGGGCATTTCTAGAATTAACTCAAAAAGAGCTTCATCCAGAGTGGAGAGAGAGTTTTTGTGCACCGGGGCATTTTTAGGACTTTGAAATTCGTAACATAGTGTCATTAAAAATTCAATAACTTGAAATTCATGTCAAGATTTTGCAACTATTTCTACACCAGGACCATCATCAATCGTAGTTTCCATGAGTGCTAGAGAATCTTAATGCATATTCATGGAAGAATATAAGTCCTGAATGGATTGCTCTCCCTGTCTGAGGGAGCGGAGTTCGTATACTAGCTAGTACTTTCGTGCTTAGTTAATCGGATTATAAATCTTCTAAAGAAAGATTTGTGCTTCTCGGGTAGTTTGAAAGTTGCTTAGATTGATCCATATGTTACTCTCTGATGAGCCCATCAACCATGCTATAATTCTAACATTATTTACTCATCATTCTTCTATTTTTTCAGCTCATTAGGTTTCTTTTGGGTTCCATCTATTTATCCAAGGAGACCTTTTCTATTAATTATATTATTGATAAATGAGGCCCAAAAAGTGTAGTTGTTGCTATTGAGTTTAATAGGTACAAGTTAACAAGACTTGGATTTTTCCATTTGAATAGGTAATGGACAAACTCTTATAGTCGAGGGGCAAAAAAAAATAGAGAACAAAAAAATTATTGACTTAAGTAGGTGCAAGTTCGAAGGCACGAGCAGGCCAGAAGTCTACAGAGAGAAGCACTAAACAAATGTAAGACCAAAGTAATATAGTGTGCAAGACCAAAGGAACTATATGAACCACTAACCCACCTACTTTTTGTACGAGATAACTTTTGTGGTAAAAGAGGGAACTTGCCAAGTCAGATAAAGACAAAGCGCCCAACGAAACCACCCCAACAAAACCACCAAAGAAATACCCAAAAGAGAGAGAGAAATAGGCATTCTAGAGAGAGAAAGAGGCGTGTTCAGGCGCAATCAGAGATTAAAGAAACTCTTTAGATGAGAGAAGGAGATTAAAATACCCGAAGCCAGATTGGATTTCAGTTGCAGAAAGGAAATTGCGAGAAAGGACCTCTGCGGGCGAGAAGCAAGGGAGTAACATGGAGATTATGCCGCCTGCATATTCAAGGAGATCAAGAGGGCGTCAAAGAACGAGCCCTTTTAATCATCATGCAAATGGAGATCACAGAAGGCCCAAATATAGATCACAGAAAAAAATGGAGAAATCCCCAACGGATCACAAATGACAAAAATCCCAACGGATCACAAATCACAGAAGACCCATTTATAGATCCCAGAATCCCATTGAGACATTGCCGGAGCCTGTCAGTGGCTTGAAAGTGCTAATTTCTTTGTCAGATTTTGCGAACAGATTAGGCCCTAAATCAGAAAAACAACACAACTCGTTTTAGAAGAAAAATAAAATAAAATAATATATATATATATATATATATATATATAGAGTAATGATATGAGACCCTCCTACACCAATATATGTAAGACCCCAATTAAATTTGACTTAAAACTCTAAAAAAGTTATCCCATTGATTTGGGATTTGATTTTTTTAGAATACTATACCAAATTTAATGGTGATCATTTGTCTGGGTGTGGTAGGGTCTCGTAAAATCATTATTTTTATTTTTGTATATACGTATATATATTTGCTCCAACTAGCGCTAATACCATGTCATAAATGTGTCTTGATACCATGTCCGAATAACTACGCGTCTTCATTGATGAAATTGATATTATAATCATAAGTTTATAAAGAAAGAATTTGTATTTACGGGCAATATACCATAAATACTTGCTAATTCTATAGAATAGAATTTTTATATAATTTTAGTGTACAATTGTGCACTTGCAAGTTATTATATCCGTTCATATGAACATGCAGGTTGCTATATCTATTCACATGTTGCTCTATCCATTTACATGCACTTGCATGTTGCTATATCTGTTCAGAGATATGAGTAGCTTATACGAAACTAGTATTGGGGCTTAGGAAAATAAACAAGAGCACTTACCTCTTCTATGAAAAGGTAATTGTTAGTCATAACAATTACATTTACACGTGATTCTAAGCCTTGCCTGACTAATAGAAGAATTTTGATATGCTTGAGAACATGTGTAAACTAATTATTTAAATGAGTCAAAAAAGGTGGGTCCTATTAAATTCAGATCTACAAATAAATCAGCCTTGAAAAACCTATTATTTGTCGATCTATGGCCGAGCCGGCTTAAGCAGTGTGAAATATGAAACAAACACAGAAAACAAAAAATGAAAACAGGAATTAAGAATATAAAGAGATATTCAAAACATAAAGATGAATAGCTACACAAAATAAAGATGAATAAAACTATTAATAAGACTAAAGGAACTAATATGAAGAATAAAAGAATCAAAATGAAGGTTGGAATAATAGATCTAATAGGAAATAAAACTAAAGAACTAAAGGAAAACAATAAAGAAAAGAAAATAAGAGATCTGAAAGGCCGGACCCTAAGTCCTGACACCTAGAGTTGAGCAAGGATCAGACGGTGAAGATTTGTCTTTACTCCTTGATCTTCAAGATGGACAATCTTGAATGAATGATTCACTCTGGGGGAGAGAGATGCCTAAATATTCTATATCTAGGGCTTTTGATTGATTGAAATGTGTTTTTAATATCTGAATTTGGTTAGAATGGGATCCTAGATTTAGGGGTTTGAATGGCCTAAAGCTAGGGTTTTGGGGCTAGAGGCCTCTCTGACTTGGGATTAGGGTTTGGATTTTTGTTCATTTCTAGGCTCTTTGAAATGAGCAGGAGAAAGTCCTTTTATAGGCAAAATACCCCAGATATAACAGGAAGGCGAAAGTCCTTTTATAGGCAAAATACCCCATATAACAGGAAGGCGAAAGTCCTTTTATAGGCAAAATACCCCATACAACAGGAAGGCAGTGGTTTGAATCCGTATGGAGTTATTACATGGACCGCACTGCAATATGCATTGAAGATTTTCTCTCTCCTACACCATATATCGTCGGTGCTAAAAGATCTTGCTTTCAAACCTTTAAATGTTTGATTAGAAGGTTGCATTGAGTCTGATGGTGGTGGTCGGATTAGATATGGATACTTCTAGTTGATCGTGATATGCAATTTCTCTTTTTCATCTTATAGACACTGCTTATTCTAGAAATCTGGTTTTCAAAGTTGGAGATTTTGAAATACTAACCAGCTCGTTTTCGGTGTTTGGTAATATTTGGCTCCTAAAATTTGATACTCAAGATTTCTAGTAGGTATTGGGAATATTTGGCATATAAGGATATCTTGTTTCCTAAAATGGATATTTGGATCCTTGGCATATTTTAGGGAATATTTTGGGCTAAACTATGGTTTGGGCATGACTGTGGTTGAGCATGTACTAAAATGGTGTATTCTAGGGTCTAAGAATTCATAAATAAATTCAATTCAAGTGGTGGGGAGGTGTTGGTATCTACAAGTTAAGAGTTCTGAGATTTAGATAGAACCTTTCAAAAGCTTAGGATAAATCTTAAGAAACACTAGCTTCATTTTCATCATAAATTCCTATTTGCCTTAGGAGCCGTAATTCTAGTTTAGGAAAAACATTGATTTTCCCTACAATTCATGATCATTCATAACCTTTTAAGTGTAGAATTTCATACATTAACTTTCATAGCTTAAACTTTTAGCTCCATAGAGATCTTCAC